AAAAAACAAGGAAAAACACACACACACAAAATCAAATGGCCAAACCTCACCATCTCCGCCTCCTTATCTCCGCCACAGCAGTGGCGGCGCTCGTCCTTGCCGCCGCTGGAGATGATTTCAGCTGGGTCTCGACGGAAAATTCTCAGGTGACCTGTCAAGGATCGATCGGGGAATGCATAATCGACGGCGAGTTCGTGATGGATTCCGAGACCAACCGGCGCATTTTAGCCAGCAACCGGCGGAAATACATAAGCTACGGTGCAATGACGCCGGGCCAAATCCCGTGTTCCCGGCGAGGCTCGTCGTACTACAGCAACTGCCGGAGGAAAGGGGCAGTTAATCCCTACAGGCGGTCGTGCTCCAGCATCACAAAGTGCCGGCGATAATTGCTTCTCCGATTTAATACCTTTTTCCCTTTAATTCACATCTATGTGTTTTGTTTTTTTCTTATTTAATTTATAGATGTGAAGATACAAATTATATTTGTCCGATTTAATACCTTTTTCCATTTAAAATTCNATTTTAATGTATGGATGTGAAGATACAAACTATATTTGTCAAGTGGTGTGTACTTCTTTAATAATTTTTCACATTTATGTATACCTGTTCTTTATGTAGTAAAGTTTTACAAGCGAAAACAATGTTGAACGTTTGGAATGTGAAACTTTAAACATATTATTTAAATGGACTAAAATGAAGGTTTAAGATTATTGCCATTATTCATCAACTTAATATTGGAAACTCGTTATCTTGATAGTTATGTGATTGTCGTTGTTGTCATAATTATTATTTTAATTTTTGTTGTTATTACTATTATTAAAAAAAATGATTCTTTGTATTAAAATATAATTATCCAAAGAAGTGAAGAACCATAATCCACAAAATTTATAAGGGCAAATCAAGTCAGCCATCAGCTCGTATAAAATGCTCAAAGATCTGAATATTTAATCATAATGTAGCTATCTATAAAAAGAAACGTTTTTCCCTCATCTCTTCATATCCATCTCGAAAATTCTGCTATGGACTAGAAAATTTTTTGATCTTACAGCTAAAAACGAGAGCTTGGTCAGAAGAAAAAAAAATTGATTATTTGGATTAAAGTATAATTATCCAAAGAATCATAATCCACAAAATTTATAAAGGCAAATCAAGTCAGCCATCACCTCGTATAAAATGCTCAAAGATCTGAATGTTTGATCATAATGTAGCTATCTATATAAAGACACGTTTTTCCTTTTCTTTTCATATCAATCTCGAACATTCTGCTATGGACTAGAAAATTTTTCGATCTTACAGCTAAAAACGAGAGCTTGGTGAGAAAACAGATTTGTTACAAACATGAGATAACAGTTAGCGCTATTAGCTAACCTTTTATTTGATTTATGCTGATTTGTCACTTGTATGGTCAGCGTACGGGTATTCGGTTGGTACTATCCACAAGCCACATAGTATAAGCAAGTGGGCCCCGAGCAGCATTGTCGAAGAGTAGACATTAGACGGGTAAACATTCCAACAAAATTCCACAGTAACAAACAGTGTTAAACTGCAGAACAAAACCGTTCAAATTACGTGCACTGATAGATAGTTCATTAAGCAGAAGAAATAATGTCTCGGAACCAAAACTTACCGTAACCAAGTAGGAAATGGAGTTCGCCACAATAAATAGGGCAGAGAATAGAAATACCTGAGATCAACATTTGTGGAGTATGAGAATGAGATTTTTTCCCAAAAGAAGAAAGGATTCGTAAAATGTACACCTAAAATCCTAAGCAGTGTTTGAAAATGTACCATCTTGCCACAACATTGAGAGTTTGAAACCATTATAAGATGTTAACAAATAAATCCGCTCAAAATGAGTTTTTTCGATAAACCAGGATTAATTTTGCAAAAGTTGGATGGTTAGTTGTTAGTGGAAATTTGATTTTATATTAAAATAATATTTAAAATTAAATAATTAAAATTAATTTAATGTAAAAGTCGAAGATAAATAGTGTGAACTGTGAAGTAATAGTTAGTTAAAATTATGTGAGTGGATGAATATTGAATTGAAGTTGATGTGATGTGTAAGAATGATTGGTTTGTATTATTTAATTGTGTCGATAATATTGAGGATAATTGAGTTGGGTTAAAATTGAGTTAGATTTTAAGTATGAATTGAATGTGAATGAATTATTTTGTAAACAAACATGCTTTAAGAGTCACATACCAAGAGTAGAACTGGTAATGCAGAGACCGAGCACACACAATACCGATGAAATTCCCAACAAACATAGTCGTCACTATATCTGTGATTAAATCAAAAAATAGCGGGGGCTCGTGAAGATTTTCAAAAAAAAAAATAAATAAATAAATAAAATAACTGAGGAAAGGATCAAAAGTAGTTAACTATTATTACTTACGTTCTGTTGTAAGCACTCTTGAGCTTACTTTGAGAAAAAACGAACTTCGATGAGACATCTTGAGCTTCAGCTGATTGAGCTTTGAGTGCAAGAGAGTAAACAATCCCCCTTCATGCCTACACCAAGCCAAAATACTTGAGAGTAAAGAGCACAACTAGAGAATTTCCAGCTATATAATATTAATTACAGTCTCGATATTGATTCTATAAAGAGAAGAGAAACAAAGTAATGATTAAGCTAGCAGCGAGAGACAGATTAAAGGCCATTTGTAACAACCACATGATACCTACTACGTACCTGCACCATCTGAAGTGAGCAAACAATGCAAGCATAATAAGGTGAGCAGCCAATAGAAACATCGCAAATCCTCTAGATACAAAAACCGGTTCTGGAACAAATTTGAAATTCACGGACCTGGAAAATACAGTTGAAAATTATGCGTTCCAATCATAATAGCATAATGAAAGTTTCTAACTCAACAAATCAGATATTTGAAATTTTGTTCTACAGCCGGCAGAATATAAATATAAATACTTCAAAAAAATAACCATGAACAAATGGCTAGAAACAGAACATGAGGAATTGAGGAGGATAAGTGATAACGAATTTATCTACAGTACAATCAGGAAACAAGTCAATGAGATTACCAAAAATGGATGAACACCCGACCAAGGTTGAAGGCTCTTGAGATATATTCAATTGGGTGTGATAATAGGAAAGGTAGCCCAACAAAAATCTGTAGAATCCAAGGAGGCAAAAATTTCAGTTAATTGGTGCCTTATAGTGAGTTAAACTTCATCTACATTATAAAACTTGACGATTGGCTACACTAAGTTTATGTTTGGTACAACTAGCTGATAGATTATAAGTGAATTTCGAGCTAATGTCTGATAGCTTATGGCTAACTGATATGATAAAAGTTTTTGGTAAAATTAGCTGATAAGCCACCTGAAATAAAAATTTCACGGGCTGATTTGAAAAGCTACCCAAAGAAGCTTATGATATAAGCTCGAGCTTTTTAAAAAAGTTCGTCCTACCAAACCAAACTTATTTGGATACAGAAAGTTTATAAGATAACTTATGAAGCTTAACAAACACACTCTAAATCGCTACCCTAAATCATGCAACAGTGGCTCAATAGAAGCAGTTAAGGGGGAAAAAAAAGATCACCTGCACCAAAGCTGCACCTACACCAGAAGACACAACCCCAAAAGGATTCATAGCCTGTTTTTCCAAGATTTTCCAACCATATCAGAATTTGTCTAAAACATAAACAAGAACATCTCTGAATGTCGAAAAAAGTCGACCAATCTCAAACAATGAACCTTTATCAAGAGGAGTAACAATGGAGGTGCATACAGAAGAACATTCATCTTCACCGAGACAGCTCCACTGTGCTAACAGAAAGAACGTCTAAAAAAACTTTAGTCAACATACAAAAAACACCAAAGGCCGAGAAAGTAATAAATAACCTCAGTGCATCCTACCTGAAAATAACTAAACCCAGATGCCACTTCTGATAGAGAAACGAAATTACTGCAGCATGTAAAAGAGTGGTGGCAAAACAGTCATTGAACAAGCGAAGCACAAAGATGGAGTGCACCCTTTTGGACAAAGCAAGCAAGCACACAGTCCACCAAGGAACCTGAAATACAGGTTATCTGATATCAGAACCCGATCAAAATCATTTTATGAAATCGAGACCGTATGAGAATTCCTCAACACACGGGATCAATATCTTTATGCAAATTTTACACTCAAGTTAAAATCGAATATAAAGTTCCATTTACCACATCCGTCTTCAGATAAATTAACATAACCATCCCAAGATTCACGATATAGAGTACACCAAACAAAATCTGCAATCAACAGAGGGCACAAGTTATGATCCCCAAAGCCCAGAAATTTCAAAAAGAACAATGCGAAAAAGAGAATAATACCTGGGCAGGAAAAACCCGGCCACCAGTAACATACTGAATAGCAGAGTAAATATAAAGAAACCCAGCTGGATACACCAATGGCCCCGTATCCCCTCCGAGTTTGCTGTAATCTCTTTCTCCTCCAAGAAACCCACTAACCTATTAACACTAAATTATCAAAATAACATCTAAACAATGAAAGTGAGTACTTGAAGAGTACTGGGACTATGATTCAGCTGGGAAATCAATTTTCACCAAAAGAAGGAAAAACAGAGCAAAAATCGAGATGAAGCTTTTTGTTCACCTGTGACATATAAGCATCCCAGTCGATCTTCGTGTCTGATCACAAACCAAAAAACAGTGTTAGAATCTATAGAACTTACTTCGAACTGCTTAAATTGAGAAATGAGCTTTTGCCATCGCATTACATGGAACATATGAGATGACGAGAGAAACCAAGACTGCGTCGGCGATGAGTACGGCGAGGGCAAAGGATGTTTTACGGCTTTTGACGATTTTTCGAATGACGGAGCGATATTCTACCGCCGTCTTCGAGCCGGCGGCGGCCGATCGGGTAGGGGTTGCTGGTCGCGGCATCGGAGTAAGGAATTCGGCGCCGGCTGAGATTGGCTTGAGCTTAGTCAACTGTCAAAAGGATGAAGCAGCTGATTTACGTCAAACGCAGCGTTTCGGGTCAAGTGTTTGGCACTTGGTTCAGATCTGATAAATGGGTCATGGTACACAATGTTTTGCAATAATATTTAGGTTCTATTCTATATTAAACGGGGCCTATTACATAGAAAAACATTTCTGAATTTATGCATTCATTCATTTGGAGAAATAAAAATACAAAATTATATGAAATATATGGTATTAATGTGTATCCACAAGGCTATTATCTCATATTTTGTCAAATTGAATTAGAGTTGTTGAAAGAATAAAACAGTGAGCAGAGTTAGCTTTGATTCGTTAAAATTCTAAAGACCTTAGAATTTTAGAAATTTAAGTTGTATTTAACTCAAAGTTTTAAAACATTGTATGACTTTAGAAGTATCGAACTATTCATTTGAGATTTTAAAAAGTCTTAAATAAGTACGAGGTATTTAACTTATTTTAGACTGAAATTTGTTAAGACTTTTCAAAATTTGTTGAGATTTTAAAATAAAAAAACCGTATACAAAATATCACTTCAAATCCACCAGACATAAGATTTTCGAAGAATTCCTCTCAAATTTGAAATTCATAAAAACTCTCAAATCTCAAAGCCTTAAAAACATCACTCAAAATTCCAAACGAATACACTTTCCTTCCTTAAGCTAGCTGAGCTCGAACAGTTAATCTAGCTCATCTATTAAATGAGTGAAGTCGAATTTGTTTACAAACAACTCCTATAATTAAAATTTGTTATTATTTTCAAATTATGTCGTTGAGTCGAATTCATTTGCGAACGAACGTTTCAATTTTGCGTTGGCCGTACTTTTTTCCGTATTGAATGTCGGGCTGCTGTATCAATACGAGTTTGAGAGCAGTTTCTTGTGTTCACATATGTTGTAATCTTTTACAATATGCATAAATATATAAGATTCTGGAAAACGAAATTGTTTTCTTGATTTTGTTGTGTGTTTGTTTACAGTTCTTTCTTATATGTCAAGAACTGTCATAGTAAGTGTCATGACAACCAAAATACATCAATGAAGAACAAAGCAAGCTTCTGCATTGAACTGCACATAATTTAAAAAATAAAAAAATAAAATCACTAAACACACTTTAACAGATCAATGATAAAAATTGCAAAAATCATGGTATAATTTTTAATGTAGCTCAGTCAGACGCTCAGTATCTGCACAATTATGTAAAAGACAAAGAACCCCAATGATTCTATACATATCGGACAAGTAAAAAGTAGTTTTTACACAAATATTCTTCAATTAGGTACTTCAATTATACCCATTTTCTTTATTCAGTTCGACATAGCCTCCTAAAAGTCACAGATACCCTTCTCTTCTGCTCGATTTCTCGGCCTTGCCAGATTTGGAAACCTGGCTTGCGATTAATCTCGTGCTTCCATAGGTATCGTGCCTCACCCCACATCAAAACCAGAGAACCTGGGGTTAAAAGTACCGGAATCTTAGCTGTGGGTACAACAGATCCTTTGACTTCATCTTCGACTGAACTGAAATGCATGACACACGATGACTCCAATGAGATTATTGCTATTCCATCTTCAAAACGCATTAAGTCAACATGTGCACAAATCCCCTGCATGCCATATGGAATATCACTTTCTTCATAGAAAAAAATGCTTGAAAATGAAGACAAATAATTGCAGTTCAAGATATATTTTCCCATTTAGCACCATTATTAATCCCAAATGAACAGGCTAGTATGAAGTGCTAGTATGAAGTATGAACCAGAACATCATATCAAATATTGCATTGTTAACAAGATAGCATGTAGTAATTTAAAGATGATGGTCGTACCTCACCTGGCTGGTATATGTTCACTATAAACTGGTCGAACAGTGGTTCTCTCCATAATATTTCTGGTGGAAAAATACGGCTTTCCTTACTGCTATCACTAAATGTTGGGTCCATGCATTTGGAAGGAAAATCATCCAAGAGAACATTATCGCGTATAATACACGATAGTTCATTGGCCCATGGGGGAAGATTTCCAAATCTCATTGCCTGAATTGCAGAGCATGCATTATTCAAAAACCATGAAATGGAAAATTCCATAGGGCAGCAATAACCAAAATGGATGTAATTTCTCTTAGAGCACGAAATGAATATCCTGAGCTGAGTGTTTGAAATACAATGTTAAGTAATTACTCTACATCTGCAAATATGATGAATCATTCTATCGATCTAGACAAGAAATGAACACTTGCAACTTTAGTATGAATTTTAGCACAAAAGCAAACAACTTAGTATAACTTCACTCAAACGGTCAACCTGCGCATTCAGGCATTATATCGAACAGGTTGTATGTCGCATTTCTTTTCACTGAAATCCTCTAAATTGGAAAATACATAACAAGAAATGAAGAAATATAGACAGACTAAACCTATATTAAACTAAAATTAAGCAAAATTGAAGGATATGAATATAATAATCAGTAAATACCTGATTACGCGACGCATCAGCTAAATATCCTTCTGCATACACCCGAAAAAAAAAAAACGAATCGAAGAAGATAACAAACGTATACTCAGTCATAAAACTCCACCAATCAATCACACCTGAAACACAATTGAGCATCACCTTCTTCAATTGCAGATAGCAACGAGGACTGTTGCTCGGCGGTTAAAAAGTCCCGACAAATCCAGAGACCGCTGATTTCAGCCACAGGTTCCCAAATGCTATTGCTGGCGTTAACTCGCCGGCGGCGGTCGTCGGAGGGCTCGCCGTCGCTGTCGGAGGATGAATCCCCAAAGGCCTCCCTAAGAATGGCTTTCATCTCCTCCTCTTCCATATTCCCTTCGGTTTAAAGCTCATCTGATTAATAGAGAACTTCTCTTTTTAAATAACAAGTTCGAGAAATAAATTTTTACATAATATTCTATGACAAGAAGTGTGCGATTTTCTTAATGAAGATGTTAAATTTGACTAAATAAATATTAGGTAAAAGTGAAAAAATAGATAAATTTAAAGTATCAATAAATATTTTTTCCTATTTATTATCNGGTACCAAAAAAAAGTCGAAAAGCCAAAATTCTGAAATTTCAAACCGAACGGCACCGCAATAAGATTCGCTTGTTGCAATGTTAACCCAAAAATTTGTTTTTCCAGCAAAGAAAAAAAAAATGGAGGTGTCGCGAGTTGGACTACAAATGAGCGGAGCCAAATAGAGTATTGACTTTTCTTGCAAATGAGCGGAGCCAAGTAGAGCATTGACTTTTCTAGCTCAAGGCTCGACATAAAACTCTTGCTCGAGATCTGCTCGAATTTGACTCAAAATTTTAAATTAGAAAATATCCAATTAGGTTAATTAGTAATTTTGTGTACATTCGAGCGTTCGAGCATACAAACTACCGGCTTGAGCTCGAGTAGAGCGTTGACTCGCGAGCCGTTCAACTCGTTTGTAGCCCAAGCACATCACAAGGACAGCCTCAATGAAAACCTGCAAATTTGCAAAACAGCAAAATTTCCAAGCTACATAGTTCATGTCTCTTGTATGTTCCATTCTTTAGTCTTTACCCAAACCTTCTGCCTGCACCACAGTAACTTCAACTCAAGTCCAGTAACAATGGGAGTTCCACAATTTTCACAAATATCTTCCCACTAGCTCATCTCCATAAGAAAAACTCCAACATGCCTTACACAGTTACACTCAAACTCCAACACTGACAATTCAGAACAGAAAAAGTAAAGTCTACAATGCCATGAACCGGGAAAAAAACAAAACAAAAACAAAACGAGCAAAAACGCAAAGGAGTTCACATAGCCATCATAAATAAAACAGATCAAAACAACAAAACTCATTATTCCAGAAGAAGCAAACCAGAAAAAACTTTATGGTCTCGCGTGGGTGCTTCGGTGCTTCCTCGTCAATTAAAAAACACTGTTTAAATCAAAAGATTGAAAAACAAAAGTCTAATAAATCGAGTACTTCTCCCCCTCAGCAAGGAAAAGCTTCCTGTAAACAGAAAGTGCGGTTGGGATAACAGCAGCCAGCGCAAGCGAGAGATGGTCTGTGCTGCTCGTCCTCAAACTCACCTGCCCACTCATCTTGTTATTTATCCCAGCCTTGACCGTCACCTTCGAATTCCTCCCGAGCCCTAACTGCACCAGCCCGTTGAGCCCCAACGCCAGGTCACCCCTCCATTTCACCATAGACAAACTCAAAGTCGACCGAACCTGCCCAATCGGGTAATCATCATCCCTCGACTGCAGCTCGAAATTGGCCCCATAAGCCGACTCGTGCTTCGACCGAACAACTCCCGCACTCCCCACCAGTGTGTGCCGTTTGGCGAAAGTGATCTGATCCTCGATTTTAAATGCAGGCACCACATTCTCTCCCAGGACAGTAAACGAGACCCCGCCAGTAACTTTGTTCTTCATCACCTTCTTGATTTTGGTCTCTCCACGGAAAATGTACGCCAGCTGTTTCCCCATGCTCTGGACATCGAATCCCGCCAAAGTCGAGACGTTTTCGCCGAGTCTCGTGGCAATCGACGAGTCGAGGCTTACCGTGAAGTCCTTTTTGTCCTTCGTTATCTGGAAAGTGTACGTGGCGGGAAAGCGATTGAGGATCGCCAGGCTGTGCTCGACGTTCACACCGTCATAGCCGCAATCGTGGTCCCACCCGTGAGTGTCGAGAACGGGCCGTGCAAGGAATTGTGAGGTCGGCTCGAGAAAACGGTACCGATAAGCCGGATTGTCCCCGTCGAACGAAGGCGGCAAAGCCATGTCAGGCAGAGGGACTGCAACTGGGGCAGCCGAGCCAGAATCTGCCTCGTCATCATTATCAGCAGCAGACGGGTTGTTGTAATCGTTACCACGGCCTCCCCTTTTCTTGAATTCTCTCATCCTTCTCAGCTCCTCTTTCCACTGCTTCTTTTGCAGAAGCTTCACGCGGTAATCGTACTCTTCGAAATACGCGATCCTCTGCTCCCGGGTCAGTTTCGCAATTTGGGCCTTTCTGAGAGGCTTGAAAGGCGGGAGCTGATCGTACTCGTCTTCTTCCCCACCTTCGTGGTCCGAATCCGAGAAGTCATCCAAGTCGATATCAGAATCCGCATTATCTCCACCGAGTTCCGATGGAAGTTTTGGGTGCGAACGGGACTGCAGCATGGATGACAGCATGTAAGGGAGAGGCGGGGAGCGGGCCCGAAAACCGAACAGCTTGCGGTGGTCAAACAGGTCTTGGGGTTTAGAGATTGAATTCGCCTCAGAAAGGATTTTCATCGAGTAGCATAAAAGCAGCAGCTGGGGCCTCCAGACCTGTCCGTTCGGAAGTATCTTGTGGCCGTCGCGATTTTTCCGGCAAGACGGGTGGTTCTCGACTAGGGAGACAGGGTTTGTGAGGCTCGGGACCATCATACGTAAATCACCCACAGACTGGCCAATCGACTGCTGGACAACATGGGACCTTTGTGAAACGAATACCTCGTAGCTCAAGGGAGCACCGGATGGCCCGTCTGGAGGCGCCGAGGCCGAATGAGTGAGGGCAATTACGGCACTTCGCCATATGGACGAGCCAAGAATGGTGTTGATGGTTTTCAACAGAGGCAAATCGTTAAGATCTCTAGACTGTGAGTCCAGTCGGTCCACGTAAAGGACAACATCGGCCGGTGTTTTCTTGGTGAACTTCTTTACAGAGGACAAAATACTGCGGTTGTGACCCTGTTCCATCACCGAACGCTTGAGGCCTGGCGTGTCCACAATACAAACCTTGACTCCATCGATAAACCCAGAAATCTCCTTCACAGAATCCGTTCCGGCCTCAAAAGCATCAATCGTGGTCTTCTCCTCGCCGAATATGGAATTTATAGTGGCACTTTTACCCACACCGTCTTTCCCGAGAACAAGCATGTTCACCGAGAAGTCCAAGTCATCCCTTTGTTCCATCTCGAGCTTCATCGCCATCCTCTTTGCATCGTCCAAGCTGAAACTCGGCGTGTTCTGTCTCCCGCCAAGGAGAGCCAGCCTGTACAAGACCTGCCCCGCCACTGACTCCTCCGGCGAGAGGCCTAGCCGATGGACAAGCCTCAAAAACTTCACCCTGATCTGCTGCAGCTTCTCCAGCTTTTTCTTCTCCTCCTCACTCAGATTCTCCTCGTATTCTCTGCCACCGACAGAAGGAGTCAGGTTGCTGAAAAGGGATGGGCGGTTCAGATTCGACCGTGGGCCAGGCCTGAGGGACTGAAGGGAAGACCCGAGGCCAGCCGGGCGCTCGACGGAGAAAAGCCTTGAACCGTCCTGAGAAGTGATGGTGACACTGCCGCCATTCGCATCGCTTCCGGTGACCGCCTTCAAAAGTGATGCTAATGCAGCAGAGTCCAAAAGCTCCTTCCCATCTCCTTCATCATCGTCCGTCTCGTCTTCTTCTTCCTCAGAATCCGTGACAATCTGGCCATCAATTTCACGGGCCAGCTCGTGCGAGCTATCCGCAAGGGCATGGGATTCCTGCTCCAGCTCCTCTATGAACTTTCGGGCTGCATCAGAGCTCCCGAAGATCATGTCATCCGCGTCCTCATCCGATATGGAGTCATCAGGGTGGCTCCTCGCAACTTCACCTTCATGGATTTCTTTGGGTTTTGCTGTTTCAGAGAAAATATCCGCCTCAATTTCATTCTTTGTACCTTCAGAATCCACCTCCGATTTCTTTTGGCCGTCCTCAGCATCCATAACTGCACCTCTTTCAACGGAATCGTTATTTTCGGCCCCAATGCCTAAATCTTCATTCTTTTCGCCTGCAACCACAACATGTTCAGGTTGAAGTGGCTTTCCCTCAACAGCATCAGCCGTATTCTGAACTACAACTTCCCCAGTACTCTTTTCAGTAAAACCACCAACCGATTCAAGCTCAAGCGGGGCTTCCTCTCTCTCAACCTTTTCATCTCCCTTATCTCCGGACCCCACAACATCAACCTGAATGTTGTCAACCACAGAATCACCTTCGCTCGTGAGTTCCACGTCACCACGACTGGCCACCTCTACTTTCTCCGGCTCAGACACCTCTACTTTCTCCAACTCAGCCACCTCTACTTTCTCCGGCTCGGCCACCTCTACTTTCTCCGGCTCAGCCACCTCTACTTTCTCCGGCTCAGCCACCTCCTCCGGTGGCTCAGCCACCACATCTTCATTTTCTTCAGCCCCTCCAACAACAGCTACCCCAGGGGCAACTACATCTACATCAATATGGTCGACCAAAGAATCAGCCTCTTGCAGGGATTTCTCATCGGCTGCATCAGCAAATTTCAATTCTTCCACCGAAACCTCTTCCACCTCCTTCTCCGGCCCAACACTCAATGAATCCTTCTTTTCCTTTCCTTCTATTTCAGCTCCCTCGACCACCATATTCACCTCTTCCCCAACCAAAACCTCAGTCCCAGAACCTTCCACCAATCCACCATCGGGATTACCGCCTGCTTTCTGAACCGAGTCAAAATCACCCGATGCTTTCTCAACGCCATAACTTTCCTTATCCTTATCCTCTTTTTCAGCACCACCACCAACAACAATTTCCTCCACAACAGCCTTATTCGACTCGGGCTCAAACTCCTCATTACCGCTCACAAAACCCTCGTCCTCAGACGCGGCGCCCTTACCATCACCCTTACTTTTATCGTCGTTATCATCGCTCAATTCAATGTTTTTATTCAATACAGATGGATTTTCGACGGCATTAGAAGATTGAAACGAGGGAGGAGCGAAGGAACCTGTGGGAGCTTCGACGGCGGGATACGACGTAGCTTCCTTCGACTCCATTGAAGTGCAGAACAATTTGCAGAGAATAGGATTTTTGGGGATAGAGGGTTAATGGATAAGGAGGTAGAGAAGAAGATGGGGAAGAAGGTGAAGTGGGTTTTTGGGTTGTGAATTGTGATAAGGTTTTGTGGTGTATTTGTTGGTTTCCGAAGGTCTATCGCAGGCGCTGGGGGCTGAATGGTGTTTTGCGGGTTTGTGAGGCGTTCTTTTGGAATATCTCAATTTTGTCGGGTGAGAAAGTGAATAACGAAAATAAAATATAGAAAATTTCAATATTTCAATACAAGAATTGATTAATAAATACATACATACTAGTACTTACCCCATACTATGCACGGTACAAATATATTAAATGAGTTATTTTCACAGTCTTGACCGTGTAAGTTTAAAAAATAATAGAGTTATTATCTATTTTCTACCTCTTTTAATGAACGTTAAGTCTAAAAAACAATAGAGTTATTATAAGTTTTTTTCCACATCTTTTAACCAGCGTGTTATTTTAGCAAGAACATTAAATATGAGCATGTTGGGGCTAGTTTGTAAAATAATTAATATATTCTCTACTAAAACATTTATACTAATAAAAATTTTGTTTTAGCATATAAATTTATCCCTTGATATAAGATAAGCAATTTTACTTATTGTTGTTCACCATATAATATTTAATTATTATTTTATTTTATAATAAAAAATAAATATTGTTAAATAGTGTAGTAGAATTGTTATAAAATTATATGAATTAATATTTTTTACAATATGGATTTAATATCATTTTATGATTTGATAATATAAACAAATCTATACTTACTTTTGACTTTTCCAACAAAGGTAAAAAAATCGGTTTTGATTTTTATCCCATAACAAATCTTTAATGTCAAGCTTATAAATACCAAAACAAATCTGTAATTAATGTCATTCTATTTCCGACAAACATTAATTACCTTTGATTTTTCTGCCTATTATTTCTAGTAAATAGAATACCTTTTTATATAAACTAGTGCGTGGCCCGTGCGATGCACGGGAAAACAATATTACTATTGTATTATAAATTAAATATATAAATAACATTAATCATGATTTATCCATTCTTTTTAAATTAAACCAGGTTGAACACAGTCCGACCGAATTGACCGAGAACCGGTTATAACCAGTTTAGTTCGCTTGAGTAAAATATTTGCTCTCGAATCCGTCAACACCAATCGGTTGGACTGGTAGGATCGATACGATTTTCTAAATAAATTTTGTTATATTTAAAATTATTTTAAATAAAATTAAATATTTAAGTAAAATAGCGATTTATAAATTATTTATCAATTAGTTTAAACATTTGAATTTATAAATTATTTAGATATCTAAGTAACACATTTTATTTAAATTTATTACAAAAAATACTATATATATGAAAATGCTTATAAATTAAAATCTGAACAAACCACAAATGATTTAATAAAATAGCTTGATTGTTTCGATGACGGTCTAGTTCTGAAAACCTTATATTTACTATACATTAATAAATATTGTTTAATTCACATAGATATTAATAAAATGATATATAAATATTCATAAATCATTAAACATGTTATCGTAAAAGTATTGTTAATACGATTATTTAAAGTTTGGACTATATCACATTCACGTAATAAAATATTTTCAATATAAAATTTATATTTATGTTCAATAATCGATTTGGTGTGGTCGAATTGATACATAACTTCGCCACTTGGGATCAACCAAGTTGTGTCAACTTTTTTTTACTATTTTAAATATCACCTACAAATAATTCAATCAACCTAGGCAATACCCTAATTCAATCACCCGATTGATCCATTTTTTTTTCTTTAAATATATTTAATTTTATGAAATAAAAATATTTTATGATTTATATAATAAATGTCTACACCAAATGATAGTATATTAAGATTAAAAATTATATATCTAAAGATGAATTGATTATTTTTACTTTATGCATATTAATAAAAAATAAACATAGTAAGTTTCAAAAAATTAAGATTAGTTGAATGATTATGCAATTTAAAGAACATTTTAGCGTTCAATATTTTTTTAAAGGCACAAATATAAAAACCAAGATTCTAAAACTTTTGTTATATTTTGAATTGAGATTTTACAAATATAAGAGACCGAGATTTTAATGTTGTTTGTTATTTCTAAGAAAAAAAAATAAAAATAAAAACATACACACTTAATAAATCTTAGCTAAATTTTTTAAATAATAAAATGAACTAAAGCCCGAAATTTAAGGCAGCATTTAATGTTGTATGATTTTTAAAGAAAAAAATAAGAAAAATAATAAAAGTTACTATTTATAGGCTGCATTAAATTCTGATCAATTTTTTTGCTACTATTTTTGGTAAATGTTAATTCTTATTATATATATA